GTGTGTGTGTGTGTGTGTGTGTGTGTAATATATATAATGTATATATATATATAATATATATAATATATATATATATATATATATATATATATATATATATATATATATATAATATATATATATATATATATATGTATATATATAATATATATGTATATGTATATATATATATATATATATATATATATATATTATATATATATATATATATATATATATATATTTTTTTTTTTTTTTTTTTTTTTTTTTTTTTTTTTTTTTTTTTTATGAAGTATGTATGTATATTAAGGCATGTAAGGTTATTTATCATTTCTTTATTTACAATATTTCATTGCAGGGCAAGCATTGCATCTTAGATGTAAGTGGGAATGCTATTAAGAGACTGCAAGTTGCACAACTCTATCCTATTGCTATCTTCATCAAGCCAAAGTCTGCTGAACAAATTATGTGAGTGAACCTTTTTTATTTCATATGGTTGTCAGATCTTTTTTAAGTGAAGCTCGTGTCTTATATGTACAAGCAAACCCCTGTTCCTCTTCTTATTTTCTTATCTTCTTCTCTCTGCAAATCTTATTATGAGTCATGAAAACTATTTGATTATATCTGGGTTTGTTAAGGTCACTTCTTTAATTCAGTCTGTTGTTTATATGAATGAAAAATTATTTGCATAGATAATTCTGATAATCATACCCTTTATTCTTCTTTTTCTTCAGGGAATGGAATAAGCGAATGACAGACGATCAAGCTCGTAAGACATATGAACGTGCTTTGAAAGTAGAAGTAGACTTTGGAGAATATTTCACAGCTATTGTTACAGGAGACACTCCCGAGGAAGTGTATGCACGTGTGAAGGATCTGATTCACCACCATGCTGGTCCAAAGATATGGGTCACATGTAAGGACAAGCTATAAAGAAAGCCCTCTCTGGGCCTTATGATGCTAGAATAATTTGTTGCATGATGGACAGGTGTTATTTCCATTATCAGAACTATTACTGAAGCTTGAAAAAGATGTTGCTAATTCAGTCCCTAAAGCTTGGTATATCCAAGTAAATCATATCTCCCACAAATTATATACCATGAAAAAGATGGGAAGGCCTCCTAAGTGGGCTGATGACTTTCCCAATTATGGGCTGATTGCCTATTTAACTCTCAGTGAACTTCTGGATTTTTGAAGATATTATTCAAGAGATATTATGCTCATATATCTCACGTGGTGAAACGTACTTTAGAAACTTTTAATTGTATTATAACAAAGTTTTATGCCTTTACTACAGCATGGAGAGGAGAACATGTATCAGCCAGTACTGGTTGGGTGATCAGCTGTTATCCGGTCCCAGGCTGAATTGCTGGTTCATATATACAATGATTTTTAAAGTGTTATCAGATAATTTCCTTATCTAAGCCCATTTGACTCAGGAGTGATATCAGCTGATAAGGACCTTCATCATTGACCTTGTACAAAAGAGAAAGTGTATCAACAGTTTATATTAGGTATGCAATGTCTGGGGAAAAGGAGGATGAGAGATGTCTAGGTTTCTTTGCTTTAGAATTTCCAATTTTCCCACAATGATTTCATATTTCCATCAGTTATTCTGCAAACATTTGTAAGAATCCATTCAGTAGATGTTGTTATAGATACACAGGAGGAAGTGTTCAATGTTATTTTCTGAATACATGTTAGACTGTGCTGATTTAGATTAGTAATTTTCAACCTTTTAGTATGTTTTTAATAAGATATGAATGTTTTCCCAAGAAATATACCAGTAAGAGCCTAATATTATCAGCAATCTCATGGAACTTGAGAAATCCAGCATTGCATTTCTGATATGAATTGCAAGTGATGAATTACATAAATATATTCCCTTGTGAAAGTTCACATTGGTAATGACAAATTGACAATACTTTATTCTCTTATGATGAACACCAGTAGTTGATGTCTGATCAGTATGTTGGTTTGTGTATATGGAAAGTAGTATTCCAGCCTTGCCATGTGGACTTAATTGAAAGGATTATTATCGTTACTATAGAGGATATGTCTAAAAGTGCCGATTGATTGATGGTGCATAGAACCATATGATTTATTTGATAATGAACTCTCAGGAGAAGACTTCCTCCTTCAGATATTGCTTGAGCTAAGCCTCAGAAGCTGATGCTGAGGCACGAATGAGAAACCAAAGTCGTTAAAGTGACAGACCCAGCTATTTCCTCCCTAACAGAATTCTTAAGTAGGGTTCATAATCTGTCTTAAATATGATCATAAGTGGGCCCTAAGAGAATGCTATTTATGGTTGAAATTTGCTGATTATGTCACAAATGTTGATGCTGTAATCTCATACTTTGTTTAGAACTAGTGCTTTAGGCCATGTCCAAGAATGATAGAATTCTTAGGTTCTTGATATCTTAGATGGATAATATTGTGCAAAGGATGTAGTAGTAAAATTTATCAAAGTTAAGCAAAAAGAACATGAGTCAGTTGTATCATTTGTGTACATGGGCATAGTCTTATCTCTATGATCCTTCCCTGGTTGTTCGTAAATGAGTGGCAGAGTTAGCTTGCTTTGGACTTCACCAGTTTAAGGGTTTTTAACTTATGTTCTCCACAGGTAAAGTTACAAGAATATGAGCCTTACAGAGAATCCTCAAACTGGCGAACAACCACTTAACTACTGTCCCACTGAATGATGTATAATGTGTTCATGATTTCAGTTGAAGAGATGAATGTCTGGTCACTTTTTGTTACATGAACTGTTTATGGTATCATAGTATGGATGAAATGTTGATAGGTTTTTAAGGTTATGTCCTCCCTGTGTCTCAGCCATAGGCAACATTGTTGACTGATGACCCTTTAGAAACCTTAGGACAAGTTGATACACATAAAAAGCAAGATACAGTCTTGGTCATGACTTGAATAATAGATACAGACAACAGCCAGTGATCTCTGATTACTTCAGAGTTAGTGTATTGGCCCCAATGTAGTATTGTTGTATTGAAAGCAGCAATATTAGTTATCTTGAGCCTTACATAGTCTTAAGTGAAGATTAATTTTCTTATTTAAGAGTAGGAAAATTATTTTTTATTTGAGGCACTTTTGTAAGGCTGATGATGTCAGTATATGAAGAAAATAAATATATATATATACACCCCATTCACTGAAGATATAATGTTCTGACTTCAGTTCAAGTTACTTAAGATGGCTTTGAATACCTTGATATAAAGTTAATGTCATGTAATCAAAACTTCTTAAAATGCTGGAGTCATGCAATATATATTCTCTGGCAGATAAAAATGTAGCAGATATTTTAGAGTAATGACCTACTTAATGTATTGAGGACTAAGCATTATATTTATGGTGAGTGGTTAGGGTGTAAGATATGTGAATAGATATTGCTGTTGCGATTTGAAACGGTTCGAAAAAGCACTGAATCCTAGGACAAGAGAAAGAACGGTTATCATGTCGTTGTTACAAGTGTGAGTTTTACAAATTATTGTTAACATATTTTGTCAATGACCTATTTATCTGTAATACCTCTGATCTAAGAAGTACTTTCCTTTGTTTTAGTCATGGTGCCATTGTACTTTTATAGTTTTATTTTAATTACTCATCTCATCTTCAACTCTGCATTGATTGTATGTAAGTTGATGTCTGTAAATATGTAGCTTACTGCAGTGGGAGCTTCTGTTTTCAGTTTTAATTTTGCTTTTTAATTTAGTGCATTCAGTTTTAGCACAGGATATGTGCACTGTACAGTATATTAATTTATTATTCATGATTCTATTAAAACAGTGCTCCACAAGCTCCTTCTCATATCTTGTAATTTCCTGAATATATTGCTATTAGCATTACTCCAAATCATCATACAAGGGTTGTCAAGATGTCTAAGAGAGACTTATGCTATTTACCCTTTTAGCTTGATTCTCACAGTTAGTTGGTAATGTAAATGAATGAAAAGTAACAAGACTTTCTATTGAAATTTGTATGGTCTCCATAGTCAGTGTAATGAAAATTTAAGTGGGGGACATTTGAAAATTAAGCTATTTCATGTTATTCTATGCAATAGTATTGATTTCATTTAGTTCAGTATAATTAGGGCAGTGTGAGGAACTTTATTTTATATGTGACCAGTACATTACAAGAGAATAAATAGTCCTTCCTGAGAGCTCAGATTTAAAAAAAATGAAAGGGAGAAGCACCTTGCTGATCATTCCAAAAGGTGCTGTTTCTGAAGTTCACTAACAACTGGTACAAAATGGTAATCAGAAAATTTGTGTGTGCATACATGTAACAGTTTTATGAGAAAATGAACTTAGCCTTATAGAGAACACAAGTTTTTAGTTGCTGTGGGTACATATTGTTTACTCAGTGATATCAGAAGCAATATACGTTTTATTTTTTTGTTATTAGTTTTGTTTTTAATTAATGGTTAGCCGGTACATTAACTTCTTAAAAACCAGGAAATTCTTCCTTCATAATCATTCCACACTGCTTTTAAGGCAATAAGCAAATAGAGATAAAAGGAAATACTGATTTTTCTTAGACCTCATGCAGGTTTTGTGCATTTGGTTGAAATGAAGAGATCTTGGGAGAAGTCTAAGAATTCTGAAATTAACCCAAATCAGCGTTTAACTTAATACTATTTATTTACTTGTATGCTCTACTCCTATCTGCATTCACAAATAAGGGGTCATTTTCATTATGTTTCACTCTTGATCTTCACATTGGCGCCATGGCTACAACAAGTCCTCAGCAAACAACCTTAAACATTCGCAGCTTCAGTGGAGTGCCTAGTGCATCCTCTGACTACCTTCCCTCTTCCCCCCCTCCATCCCCTGTACTGTAAATACAACATTATCTCAAAGTAAAGCATCTTTTATTTAACCCCGAACTTCAAAAAATAATAGTTGTAAGCTTAATTTAGGAAAAATATGGAAACAGATTGGTATTCCGTAAATCATCACATTTAGTGCTTGTTAGTTATGGAGGATGTAAAGCAAAGACAG